TAGATAGGTATATCACAATCCGCTAGGGGCGCTACAGTAGTAACTATCCAGGGGCAGTGAAGTGCGAAACTGATACCGCTATGACACCCCTTTTTTTAAATCTCTTTTAGCGCCGCGTAAAAAAAAACTAATATAAGCCAATAAATAAGCTGTAAATCAAAGAGTAAAATCCGGTCAGTTCAGGGCGTTTGAAGTTTTGCCTCGACAAAATGTTAAAAAAGTCAGGTAATTTCTGGTTGGAATTTTTTGAAATTTATGATGAATAAAATTCATGAAATTTGCAATATTATGTAGAAAAATCATGAAAATTAAACCATGCAAAGTATAGTTTATTTGATGCGCAATGTTTATAGTACATGATCTGCTATGTGCTTGTGCAGTCGCCAATTTGGGTTTGTTTCTGGGTCATTAGATTAATATAGAGCCCCAATTGGTCACAAGCAATTTGAGCTGCAGCTACAGCTGAGTGATCACCGCTGGTCAGTAGTTGCAGGTTTTTAGCTGAAGAGTGTGGACACTTTTGGTGAAATTTTGCAGTTAAAAAACTTCAATATCTTTGTTGCTTGTAGGAATATTTTAAAAATTCCAAAAGAATTCATCTGTTTTTTGCATTACCTTTCAGACGATATAAGTATTATAGTTTTCTGACCTGTTTGAAAATTTTTCTGATGTACCTAACATAGAGATATACTGAAGACGTACTTGTAACCATGTACTTGTAGCACGCGTGGTAAGAACAGTGCCAAGAAAAGGTAAAATGGCTTTAGTTTGGGGAAAAATAAAATAAAAATTACAGAATCTTATGTTTTTCTTTGGTTTGTTCCAGTAAATGGTGCTCATGGCAAACATAACGGTACAAGTCACGGTGGACACGGAGGTCACGGTGGACACCGAGGTCACGGTGGACACGGTCACGGCGGACACGGAGGTCACCACGGACACGAAAGTCACGGCGGTGGAGGTCACGGTGGACACGGGGGTCACGGCGGTACAGGCCACAGTGGACGCAGAGGTCACAGCGGTCCAAGACACGGTGGCCAAAGTGGTCACAGTCATGAACCAAAAGGTGAGAAATGCTTGGGTTAAATGAAGTTTTATTTTTTCTCTCTCTCTCTCTCAAAATGTTTAAAATCATCAGTGAGAAAGGATAGGCCGTAAGCCAAACCATTGTTGCTATATTTAACACGAAGATTGAAATTATACTTACAGCATTAACTATGTTAATGCTGTAAGCATTGTTCCGTTTGAACCCGAAATAAATGACATTGTTACCGACTTTGATTTACAGGCGGGCATTAGGAAGGACCTGCAGAGAGCCACAGCTATTTGCGCCGCCCAGAATTATGAAGTTGGAAAGCGTGTACAGCTGACTAGAGGAACCGTGCTTGAATGGCATTTGCTCGCTCATGTAATGAAAACCATCAAGGGACGTTTTCGTGTCTCTCCAGACAGAGTCGAGGCCGGCATAACTCAGTATTCAAAAACAAAAATGTTAAAAATTTTATGAAGCAGTCACGAATGGATTGTAACTTTTTTGTCAGTACTGACCATTGAGACGAGAGCGTAACGCACTTGAAATATTTTACATTTCATTTTAAATTTACCTTATCAGAACATAGTAATGAAATGTTAGGGTAGGAGATATTTTATTGTAAGTTGATTTGCTTCCGAATGATGTTGAACATCACTTTTTTTATCAAAAACCTCCGGTGAGGAAAAATCATAATCTACAACCCACATGCATATTGCTGCCAGTAACAGTGTGAGAGGATCCCATTTCTTTTATCAGTTTTTAATCTTTTAAAAAACAACTAACAGTGTATAGAACCATATCACCGATTGATTTGAATATCTTTGTATTTGATATAATGGTATTCAATAAATATTTATATCAGTTTTGTTTGTGTTGAATGGGAAAAACCTGCATTAATTGGAATCTGAATTGTCTGAAAGCGTTCGTTAAACCCCCATATTCGGTTGTCTCAAATGGAGAATATGATAAATATTCGCAAGCGCATTGGAGTTGTTAAAAACAAATTGTTTCTCATGAAAATAACGTGTTTTAACGTTGATTCGGCCCTTGTTCAACAAGATGTCTTGGTCTGGTGACAAAATCGTCGGTGTGAGGTCCGGAAGTTTGGGTTTTAACCATCATGCATAACACAACATACTCACCTGGGTTTGTCTAAAAAGATGCCGGGAAAATCACCTCCTTACACATTCCGTGCTTGCCCAAAAGCCCTGCGGTGGTGTGGGCGAATCTAGGAAAACAAGATTCAGCATGAAAAAACTGGTTAAAAAGAAATGGAAAATTATTGTTACAATGTATTTGAGTATCCTTTTGTAGCTGCATGATTAGCGTTTTACATGTACCTTTTGTGCATCGGGGTACGGCTTAGGGATAAAACCTACGAAAACAATTGTTTACTATCTTTAAAAACTAAAAGGCTAGAGTTGCTTTCCCAAAGAAATTCAAAAGAGTTTGAACTGGATGGAAATTCGTCCTCATTATAGACACTAATCATTTTATTTCTATTTTTATTTTCTTCCAAATATTACACTCTAGAAAATAAACATATTCAATAAAAACACATGCAAGATATCTGTCCCAATCACTTCACTCGTCGTCTAAATTAACCCTCCCAATTTTTTCCTCTTCAGTTGCATGCCCATACAGAGCAGTTAACGCATAAGTTAAGTACTAATGTAACACAACGTTCGTTAAAATGAGCACATTTCTGCAGCTGGTAAAACATTTTGAGACTGGATTTGAGGTTCATTACTGTGTGTTCTTACTGCGTGTGTACGTTTTTTTAGAATTGCGTGATATAGTGTAATTACGGAACAAATATAAATGACAATTTTTCTTATGCTTGTTTTGTCAGACAAGACATACAGTATCATAATTTGTTATAAACATGTAGCTAAGTAAAAGTATATGTCAGAAAAGTAAAAATATATGTCAGAAGGGAATGGTAGAGCGCTCGCTTAGCATGAGAGAGGTACTGGGATCAGAGTTTTTTGCTCCTGAAAAGGTTTCGAGAGAACTGAGAGTATTTGTTTTTGGAAAGAACCAACTGTACTGTTCCAGAAAATCAGCCAAGACTGCACCCCTCAGTCAGGCACCTCTATTCTCGTTATTAATTAATCATTTTCACCAAAATGTAGTTGTATTGAGTTAGACAATGTTTGACCTATCCTGGAAACTAAATCAGAACGTGTCGGTAACTTTTTGAGTTAGGCTATTATCTGACGAACCAACGTAGGCAAAAAGCAGCATCCTTGGTGAATATAATAAGAGACAACCATTTCAGTATTTTTATGAGTCCCTTCATGTTGAATACCAACACAGTTACTGTGGTACATGTACATTTAAAGGTAGCGTACACACAAACACACAGAACTTCCGAGCATTGCCTCCTACATTGAAAAAGAGGTGAGAATGGATATACATGTATGGTTATTTGTATCAATTATCTTACGTGACCACGTGTGTACGTATTGTTAGAAATGCATGAGGAAGTGTTATAAAGGACAGAACATTGTTAATATGTCTTTGTCAGGCAAGACGTGTTTTATCGTAATGTACTGCAAACGTGGAACGATATTCGTAAAGTAGGGAAGGCGTTTGAACCGCGACAGATGGGGATCTAGCTCAAATGGTTTAGCGCTCGCTTAGCATGTGAGAGGTACTGGGATCAATGCCCAGGTTCTCCAGAGTTCATTTTTCCTAAATTGTGAAACTATGTACAATCCTGCTATTGATGGTGAGGCACAGGAACTCCAAACCATTGTGATCAGATCATATAACTGTTGGAATTTGCAATTTGCCAACGACAAACTAAACATATGAAAGGTACTGAGATAAATGCCTAGGTTCTCCAGATTTTCTATTGCTTAAATTGAAAATCTAATGTACAATTCTAAGGATGAAGCATAGTCACTCCAAAATTCTCCCTGAAAACCCACCCTTGACTTTATGTTATGAACAAGTATGAAAATGTGTATCTCGACGCTGTGCATGTGCGTTACAATTAACAATCACAATATGACTTGAACATCACGTAAATGTAAATTTATGTGCGTTGAGGAACCACTTTAGGGATGAACAAATACAGTTGAGAAAACCTTCTTGGCATGAAGGGGATCTAGCTCAAATGGTAGAGCGCTCGCTTAGCATGTGAGAGGTACTGGGATCAATGCCCAGGTTCTCCAGAAATTCTTTTCCAAACAAATTGTGAAACTATGTCAGAAGTTATTATTGAATGGATGAGGTATAGGCACTCCAAAATTCCCCCATATGATCAACTCTTTCCCTTTTGTAATGGGGAAGAAGATAAGCGCCATTTAAAACCTGAATCATTTGGTGTAAAACTTGAAAGAATCAAAAATTTTGGTTAGAACTTTGATCTGCTGGAATTTCCGAGGGAAACGTTGTATATAGTAAGGTTCTCAATTACATAAAAACAAAACAAAACAAAAAAAAA